GATCACCCCTTGGAATCAGACTTTAGAGCACACAAATTAGAGATAATCTTTTACTAACCTTTCCTTCTCCACATTTTGTTATTGGATCGACCATTCCAATATCATCAATTAATTCATAATGGCTGGCTTTGCACGAACCAAAAACGATCTTTTCTCCATATGTAGGGAACTCTCTACCACCTGTGCAGTAGAGCCTGCCACATTTTACATTCCTGAAAAAGTAAATTTGTTTTCATTAACAAGAATACATCAATGAGAGGTCTGTTGCTTTCTCATTTGCAAACAGTTTAATTAATTCGTTAATTAATTTGCATGCCACTTTTCTCATTAATACAAAGACTCTGGGCACCTTTCAATATAATAAAATGTCTAAAAGTCTTAAAAAGAAACAATTACAGTTAGAATAAAAGATGAAAACTTAAAAATCAAGATGAATATCTCTATCTGGTCAGCCATCCCCAATGTAGCAGTTCCATGTCAGGCCCTAGACCAAGGGGCAGAGTCAAGTTATTCCATTAGGCTAGAACTGTGGGGGCAGACCTCACCTCTGATGGGAAAATATGGGGGGGGCAGAAGAAAAGCCTCTTCTCTTGGACACTGCCAGCTAAAAGGTTTGGCTGACTGGATCTGTAACAGGAAGGACTATGGTGGGTTAGTCCCAAAGGGCTAAGATGGTTCCCCAGATACCCTGGGTTCATATTAAAATGGGCTTTAATGGTAACAACCAACACCTTGAATTGGACCCTGAAGCAAAGTGTCAAACTGTGCAGATCATGGAACAAGGGTGTCACGTGTCATGTGAGGGGCCTCCAGAGCAATTGACACCACTGAACTCAGTACCAGTTGTACCTTCCAAGTATTCTCCAAGGGTAGCCTTATGCTGCAATCCAATGACCAGGGCCTGAGTGACTGTGTTAACAGACAGTTGATGATCTTGGATTATATATGTGATATATTTTTAATTAAAGCATGAGAACCAGATGTTTGCTCAGCCTCAAAATGAACTGAGTTAAGTTTAACACATAAGTGAAAAATCTCAAGAAGCGTTTCAAAGTTTTGAAAAAATAATAGAGAAACATGGTTCATGTGTCTCCAACTAGTTCATGTGGTTTGAGTAAGGATTCTACTCTTCAGAGCAAGTAATGATTTGCGATCCACCTGGAAAACTCCCAAGGCAGATTTAAGAGCTTGTTTTTTTCCAGATCTCTATCTTAACATTTTCATAATCTATGACCAGTGGATAGCTGGGGATAATGGGAGTTGAAATCTAAAGGTAGCAGCAGCCTCACTAAACATTGGACAGTGAAATTGCTCAGATAAGTGGCTATTATTCCATTTCAATTTATGGAAAACAAGGAGAGAAAAAGGGAAATAAGACTGAAGTTGTGATGGATAAAATAAGAACTGCCCTTATTTTAGTAGGGAAAAAAAATGGCACAAATGGTCTGTTTGTTGGGTAAGATTTCGAGGCAGAAAGCCACTGAAAGATAACGTGTTTATTGTTGGATTTGTGTTCAACACGTGATGCAAATTTAGCTATTGTACTTTTTAAGTCATGGTTTCATATCTAAGTGCAATACAACCAACCAGCTTTATTCTGAGTGATGTCAGCCCAAAGACTAAAGTTGTTTATAGTGGTAGTTCTTGATTTATGACCAAAACTTGGTCCAGAACTTTCATTGTTAAGCAAGGCTGCTTTTACGTGAGTTGCAGCCAATGTTACCACTTTTGGGGCATGATTGTTAAGTGACTCATTACAATTGTTAAGCAAATCCAACTCCCTCATTGATTTTGCTCATTGGAAGCTGGATGAGAAAATCGCAAACTGGGATCATGTAACCTTGCCACATTGCAGCCCTCATTTTGGTTGCCAAGCGCCCAAATTGATATCACATGACTATAGGAGTATTGTGACAGTCCTAAGTGCAAGGGCCAGTTCTAAATCATTTCTTTCAGTGTTGCTGTAAGTCAGAATTGTCAGTAAACAAATGGATATGTCAAGAATTACCTTTTCTTTCTCACTCAATCTTTTAAAAGAAAGCCTCCTAATATAGCCCACTTGTGCTCTTTCTTGAAACCCAAGGTGGAAAACACAGAAAAATTAGCCATTCAGAAATTGGCTCACACGTCTGTTGTTTTAATGGGTGATAGAATTAGCTTCCCACAGATGTGGACCTGAAAACATTTCTTATATTATCCTTTGATTGTATCATCATCATAGTGGGAAACAATTTAGAGTGCTTACTCTGGTTCACATGGAATGTTTGTACCATTTTCCTTTCTGCAGTAGCCATATTTACCGCCATTCCTGTTAATCTCAAAACATTCATCTGGAGCCACTTTTGCATCTGTAAGAGAGGAGTGTGGAACCAAGACCAAGACCTGAGTTGTCACATGACAGCAGGATTCCCAATCACCCCCAGTTGCCACCTGAACCTTCTAATTAAAATTCTATTTGAGACATTCTATAATCTATATGCAACACCTCACTACACCACTCATCTA